TTTATATATATATATATATATATAAAAAATCTTCTCCTAAATTAAATTCCAAGTAGGAACAGAAAGCCATGCAATCACAACAATAAAGAAGGGCTACAGATACATTTCTTACTCAAGCTCAGCCAGTAGAAGTGTCAACTTAAAATCCCAGCACTGTATTTCCATTCTGGTCAGTGGCGGTAGGCTAGGCCATACATGCCTTTTGTACTAAAATTCTAGCTTGCTCTTTAATGAAAGTTTGCAAGGCTGATAATCCAGAAAGTCCTCTCTAAGCTGAAGCAGCCAAGTTTTTTGGGTAGTAATCATTATGATTTCTTAATATTATGGAAATACCAAAGCAAATTATGCTAACAGCACATCAAGTTTACAACAGCCATACAGAGCTACCATGAACGTTTAAGAACAGCGAAGTCCTAGTTATATCTCTACTAACACTTGAGATTACACAGGTTTGGACTTCACAAGCACATGGCACATTTTGCTTTAATGATAGTAAGTGCATAATTAAAAAAGTAAAATAGTAGGAAGAAGAATACTTAAGAATAAGTCACCAAGTTATCTGGATGAGAGGGAGACCAAAGCAAACTATAAGACAGCATACTTATTCTATATTATCAGAATAAAGGCAAGAAGGTAGAGGGTTTAATCTTTTTGTAATCCTTATTTTTAACTAAAAAGAAGCTGTCACACACCTAAACCGTACCATATTGCTGCTACCAGCAGATCCAATGACACCATGCTACGCCAGGGCCAGTTTAAACAATTATTTCCCTTGTGAAAGTTAATATAATAGGAAAGTGTGTTAAAAGAGGGTAATCAAATGGCTGCTTGGTGACCTGTGTAAAAGTGAGTGCATGATAATCTGCTAGTTCCTAGTGAGAAATTGTTTACTTCCAAAACCAGACAGTAACCACCACTGTTATCTAAAGAATTTCCAACAAGAGACTAAGCCACAAGAAATAAGAAATAATCTCCCTGTAGCTTCCAGACAACAGCAAGCAGATAACAAGCTGTCACTGCTAGCAGCTATGCATGACTTGTGTGAACAGTGCCAGTCTGTAGCAATGACAATACAGCCTTTTCTTGTACCACTAAATTCAGTAGAAATAGCTTCACAAAAGTACAGAAAATTAAAGGAAACACACAAGTGCTCAGTTACTGCCACAGAATAACCAAAGCTATTTTCATAGGTGGTGTAAGTAGAAAAATATTAACATTACATCATCAGCTAGATGACATACTCACATGATTGAGAAATTTGCTGTCTTTGGTAGCCCATCCTATTTGCATCACTCCCGAAGTAATGACTGTAACTTCATAGTACCAAAGGCCAGAATCGACACAGAACGTACATCTAACGCTTTCAAAGGATGAGGCATCACATCGAGCCTACCAAACCAAACCAAACATTAAGTTCTACAAAATTAGCATTCAAACAAGCCCTTTTTTCCCCTGGATCAAGTTTCTTGCATATAAGAATACACCAATGTAATTTTAGAGGCACTCCAGACAGAAAGTGACCTCTTTATAGCAATAATTGTCACACAAACTAGCAAGTAGCCAAGACTGAAAATTGTTCAGTGGTAAGCCACAAGAGCGGAAAAAAAAGTAGAAGGTTGAGAGAGTCAATTCAAAGATTTAAAGACTAAGATAACCAAGACATGAAGACCTAAGGCATTGGTTGTTAGCTGACTCCTTGTATGAAGGACAGAGAGGTATTCAATGTTAATTCATGAAATTCATCTGTAAGTAGTCAAACAAGTTTTTCTAAAAAGTAAAAGAGGAATTAAAAAAAAACAACACATGGCTGAGACAAAAACCATACTGCTATGGGCTTTTCAAAACTAGACAGGACAAACAACAGGAATTATACTCTGTGAACAATTTTAGTCAAAATGAGTGAAAAGCTAGCTGACTCTTAAGCACCCTCCTCACTTTCCTGAATTTTTTTTTGAGAAGGGGGGGTTGTCTTACTTTAGTGTGAACAATTCTACAATACCACTACAATCACTGTAGTGGTATTACAGCTCTCTGACAAAGCAAGTTTTCTATACAAAGCTGGCAAGGAACTTTGATTCATTCTAGGAAACCACAGAAGCAAGTAGCAAACAAAAATAGTTAAACACTGCCTTTTTCTTCAGACTCCCTTTTAGGTTGAAATCTTGAACTGATATCCTACCTCTAATCCATGTGGTGAGATCTTCAGGTATTCACTGACATCGTTACTGTTCAGCATAGCCCTAATGTTGGTCAAGTCAACCTTCTCGTAAGTAAACTGCCTGCCTTCTTTTAAAACTGCAAAATAAAACTAGTTTTAATCACTGCTGCAGCAAAACTTTAAACATTTCACATAGTGGCAATCAATCTCTCTAAGATCCAGTTAATTTTTGGCATAACTGAATGAAATATTGCCATTTTGCCTGCATGAAAACAGCATCACTTCCAACCCACTGTATGTTAAATATACTCTAAACATGACAACACGACCTGTACCTCTGACTAGAGCTCCTACAATCTAATTACTACTTTCAGGAAACCCACAGGCAAACATAAGGCATCCAAGTTCATACCCAGATACCACTGGTTTCGGATTTACCGTCGCATTTGTATATTCAGTTCGGCAGTTTTTCTGATTCACCACAGTGGAAAAGACTTTGGGGATGGGGAAGAGTGGGAAGGGCAAAACAAGGATTTGAAATTTTTTAGCCTCTCATTTTCAGGTAGTTGATGAACTCGAACTGAGCCAAAACCAGCTCTTTCTCCCTGCATTCCCTTTTCATATGAAGCATTTATCTTGCCAAGTGTCAAACTGATGACACATGCATGTTAATTTACAAATCAGAGATCTTATCTTAGGACCCTTCATATATCTCAAACTTGCTACAACACTTACACAGATGTTTACTAAACACAACTGACACTGGCTTTCCATAAGCTGGCTAAAGCCCCATAAAGCCCAGCAAGACCTTTCATCGAAATTTATCTAAAAGGCATTAGAAACTACAAGGTCCTTAAAGCTGCTGCACCCTCAAAATCACAACTAAACAAGCAAATTCGATGATTGTTAGTCATCCAAAAGGAGAGATCTAGTAAAGTGCTTTGTCAAACACTTTTCACCTTTGATCACAAGACCATATCTTTACTTTAAAAAGTCTTTAATAATTCTTTGAGATTGTGCACTGCTGGGGTGTGATCACAGTAGTGATTGTCACCAGGATATGTCAGTAATCCAGCTGTCCCACAGAGAGACAGACCTGCACTATTTAGCTACTCAGCACATCGGCTGAAGCATGGGTTACAGGAAGTATGGTGCAAAGAAGAATTTTCATTGCAGCTCTCGCTAGCAGAGTACAAACCACTTCCTTCCACAAACATTTTCCTTGCCAGAATTTTCCTTCCATGCAATTACAGTGGATTTTTTTTTTTTTGAAGGAGAGTGATTACAGATGCAGTCAGATATATTTACAATTATACAAAACAAACACAAAGTAGTCATCCATCTCTTTGGAGAAATGATTAATATTAAATTAAACCATCCCTTCGTTATACATACACAGATTGTCTAAACTCCACTGGGCACAGAATCCAACCTGGCGTTTTAAATAGTCTGGATTATCTGTCCATTTCTCTAGCAAGATCAGCTGGTCGCTAATGCACGATTCAGAAACTGTCATTTTATTTTCACCTGCAATTTCAGAGCAAAAACAATAATTGCTATAAACTAGGGATAAGTTTAGTTAAAAATAGTAACATTCCACAAATGCAGTAGAACCCCCCCCACCCCCCTTTAAACCTCAGTATTACAAACAGCACGAAATTCTTTCCCCAAGCAGATGTGAAAATAACTTAGCACTCAGATATACCACTTCTCAGCTTGGAGCTGCATCATCAAAAGAGTATTAGATCATGGCTGTTGTCCATCTCTCTAACGTAGACTCATTTATTTTCAAGTAACAAAGGTCTCGCATCATAAGTCTTTAAGTAGCAATTTCTAAGCTGAGGAGGACTGAGTTTCAGCAAATTTCTTAAGGGTTTGTGGGTGGAGGCATCATTAAAGCAATAAGTATTTTTTTCCTGCCTGCAAACACTCAGTCACAGCTGTTCGCCATCTCCAATACAGACTTATTCAGTCACAAAGGCCTTGCGTCGTAAGTCCTTCTACAGCAATTTCTAACTTGGAAGGACTACACTGAGTTTCAGCAAATATCTCAAGGGTTTTGAGGGGTAGAGGGATGTCACTAAAGCGGTAAGTATTTCTTCTTGCCTGTAAGTGGACAAACATTTCTCTTCCATATTTGTGTTTCCACCAATTCAGTCTTTCTCATGCTCATAAGTGTTAATCAGATGAACCAAGTGACAATCATGCAGTAGAAGCTACAGTATGACTGTTAAGAGCAGTGTCAGGCTAATACTTACTTGTTTGTGCAAACTTTTCCAGTGCGATTAGTGCAAAAAGCATCACCGTCGGATGGGACTGGAAGTTCTAAACATGGACAATAAGAAAAGTTATTTAATAAATACCCAGCACAGATGGATAGGAAAAGCTGTTAGTCTGTCACAGAATGCTTTAGGTTGAAAGGGACCTCCAAAGCTCCTCTAGTCCACGCTCCTGTGGAGAGCTGGTTCAAGCAGATCAGGCAGCTCGGTGCCTTGTCCTATCGACTTCTATCTATCTCCAAGGATGGAGAGCCCACAGACTCTCTGGAATCTCAGCTTTCTATAACATACTTTAACAGTATTCACCAAACATGACCCGAACTTTTCACAATAATAATAATAAAAAAAGCATTATAATTGCTATGTATGGACACATACAAAAAGATCGAAGACACTCACCAAGCTGTGAAGTAAATATTCCAATATGCCTGGGCTGAGTAAGCCTATACTTGCAGGACCTAGAAGAACATTAAAAATTAAATCCATCCATGGGAACTACCACGTACTCATCATTGCACAGATCTTTTAAACACAAGGCAACAAATTAAAGAACATCTAAGCACTTCACAGCAAAGCAGAACTATAATATAGTTCATATTATCAATATGAACTGATCGAACAAGTTAAACTTATAGTTCATATTATCAATATATTAACAATAATATCATTGTTCCCAGTCAAACATTTGCTACACATTTAATAATTACACAGTTACTGGCAAATTACAAACATATTCAGTTTACCTGCTGTAAGTTGGTACAGACTTCTAGCCACACTTCTGAGATTTTGAAGTAAGACTCCACCAGCCTCTGCTTACCATTTTTATGCTCATTACCTTTGAAAAAGACTGGCTCCCCTTTGCTTCCAGAGTCAAAGCATAAACACCAACTCCATTTAGCAGTAGCCCAAAATAAGCAAAACTGAGCATCTAATATAGCCTACTTGATGATTATACAATTTACAGCAGCACGATAGCAAGCAGCCAATTTAAAAAAAATACTCTGAAATATTGTCTACTTAATCAAGGGATAGATGCAGGGGCATCAGCCTCTGGCACCTACAAACTCTGAAATTGCAATCGGTTCCAACACAGCATTAACAGATTTGCTACCTGAGCTTATACAATGAGATTCACGTCCACTAAGACGAAAGTGGATACAGGATCTCATTTTGATCTAGTATAACGAGGTAGAAGTATTATAGTACAAAAATGCTTTCTGGCCTTGTTCTTTTTTTTGACAGAAATACTGAAATTTATTTTTTGATAACTATTAGGTGATACCGGACAATCACTTTTTCCTCCTTTTCCTGTCTGCTTTCAGAAAAGGAGCAAAAAACTAGATACAAAACCAACCATCAGAAAAGGAAACTTAATCATCAGTTTCCAGCACGGTACTATAAATGACAGGGAATAAAAAGTTCTATACAAAAAGCCACTTTAAAAGAAAATTGATGGGATTCTATTTTAAGTAACACAGAAAAGAGAATCTTTTCAGCTAACTACAATAGAACAATAAATGTTTAGCAGAAAGAGCAACTTTCTTTTTTGTTTCTATACAGACTCCAAGACTACTAATTTGATACTCCTGCCTACTGGCTAAAGAACTGTGTGTTCTCAGTAATTCACACACAGCCAGAGTAGGTCTACAGAAAAGACTGATTACCAGTGTTAAGGCAATATACGATAAATAAACACTGATCCACAATCACTAACCATACATGAGAAGGATTTAATCTTTTTAAGTGTCTGGGATTGTGAATGGTTCATTCAGATCCAAGCTAGTGAGTATTCAACATTTTAATCGAGCAGTAGATTCTGTCACACCTGTGACACAAGGTCTCCCCTCCATGCAGAACATTATTCAGTTCTAAGAAAACATTGCTGAACTAGTCTGCATCACGGGTGCTAAAGCAGAAAGTGCTTCAGCGAGCCAAATGCAAGCTTTCAGAAGAATCCCACGGCTTTACCTGCTAACTTCTCTGCTAAGCAGCCCAGTACTGCAGTTGTATTCCGGTGTTTAGCAGGGTGACAAGCATCCTGGCAAGCAGCAGCTCCGCTTAAGTTCAATATTTCAGTCAACTTTTGTAATGCATCCTGAAAAAGAAAAATTAGAAATCTCTTCAACATTACTGAATACAGTTTTCCCCCAACTCAATACAGTACAACAAATTATTTTTACACTGTATTACTAAAGTCAGTATCATACTACAGACAACAAGAGATGGTTATCTTCTAAGATAAGAAGATAATAAAGAACAGATGGGAAGAAAAGTTCAACATACCCCAGAGTTGTAACTTTAAAACTACCACCAGACTGTTGGTCATTGTTGTGATCAATGACTCGCAACACTTCTGGACATACACAAGTGAGCTACCTATAGCAATAGGAACTAGAACAGCAGACAAAGGCAAACAGTATCAACCAGCACATGTGGCACTACTACATCTGATCTGTTTCCAGTGTCCTAAAACTCACATCCTTTCCAAAAGAAAAGGGCTGGTTTAGACTTTAGAATTCAGGACTAAAGAGACATGCCTCAAAAAAAGAGCCCACATGCCCATCATAAATTTAGGATGCTGTCAGTTTTACAGGATGTCATAAATGGTATTCTTGAGAGCATAAATGGCTTTCGGTAGTCACGCTAATTTAGGAACTAACCGATGAGGGTAATAAACCTAAAATGCCATGCTTTGACTTGCTTCATTTAGGCAGTATGGTATGGATAAAATTCAAGATAGATCTAGAGCATAGCCTCCATTTTCAGAGTAGTTAGGGGTTAATCTAGAGCCAGAACAAGTTATCCCACAGGGAGAATCCCACCCTGCAAAGCTCCAAATCCCCTTCAACTTTCCAGACTTCAGGAAAATTCCAGCTGATTCAGATTGAAACTGCATAATCTCAGGCTAGGATCTAATTAAAATAGAAGAACTCATATTGAAGTCATCAGCAGTCCATTTGGAGGAAAAAAACACACAAAACAAACCAAAAAATCAAAACCCAACACAGAGTACTGCTCAAGTGGAATATACATGTTTCTTTGAATTGTGTTCTGAGCCACACTCAAATCAGTTTACTGTGCTAGAGCCCGAGGTTCGTACAGATATGACACAGAAAAGCAGTTATGTTCCCAAAAGAAAAGCCACAAAACCAGAACTGATGAACAGGACTAAGGAAAGCGGAAAGAACAGAGAAAGAAGAAAGGATGACTGAGCCACAGACTTGGGATGGAAAAGCCTCACTATAATTAGACTCTTGACATACTCTGATACTGCTTTTAGCCATTATTAGAACCATCACAGAGATCAACTATTTCGAGTTAAATAAAGACTTTAGAGAATAAACAGTTTACCACACTGCCATTTTAAGTTTATGGACTTTACAGCCTACAATAACAGAAAATGAAATACAGCCTGCTGCTGTTCTCCAGCTGACACAGAAGTGGGCACTGACTTAAAACCCCTAAGAAAAAAAAACTTAAAAACTTATCCCAAATGGAAAGAAAATGAACAGCAGCAAGCACTTTACTAGGCTGCATGTGACCAGCAGATCCCACAACTGCAGCTCCTTATGCCATTAAAAAAAAAAAGGAAAAAACCCCAAACAACCCCCTGCACCCCAGAAGCAGGCATCTTATTCCTTTTGTCATGTTAAGCTCAACTATTTCATAGCTAACTCCTTAAAATTAAACTACCTAAATAACAGTCATATGGCTTTCAAAAACCAAATCATTTGATTGCCAAGTACATTATATAGTCAAACAAAACGCACAAAATTCACTCTTCATGTGGTACATTCACAGTGGTCTCCATTTCCTGATTTTTTTTTTTTTTTTTTTCAAAGCAGGCAAAATTTCTAGTCATAGTTTTGTTTTCAAATTCATTTTGCCATCTATGTGACAGTTATCATACATTTAACTTGTTCAAAAGTCTCAGATGACTTTAATCAATAGCCTAGAGGAAAACAAAACCACACAACACTTCGGGTAGTTAGAGAGCTTGACTAGCTCTCCAGCCACTCATGCATTTACATAAGACAAAAAGCTACCAGCTTTTTATATCCCTAACAACGCAAACTGAAAATTAAAATTGGCAGCATAAGACGTAGATTGATAAATGAAAACTCCAATGATGTCATCATCAATTTTTGATGAAATGAGATCATGACAAGCATTTGAAGACAGACAAGTTCTCTGTGCAATGATCACATTTAAAGGGATTCAACAATGGTTAGCACCTTGAAGCACTTGAGGCTGTCACTAAAACACCTGTACCAACACCTCAGGTTACCTTTCCATCCAAAAAACAGATCAGTGGTCAGTAAAAAAAAAAAGTATTCAAATTTGCCAAAACTGCATCTAGATACTTCATAGTCAAAAAAAAATGTCATTTGTTTAACTTTACACGCCCACTTGTGTTGCATTCCTTATGTGCAGGGCAGGAACAAATTCAATAGCGACTTGTAAATGTGCAGCTTCCAATACTTGAGAACCAAACAGCAGAACTTGTACTGCATCTGTGTGCCCTGACTGCACAGCATGCATGTTCCACGTGGCAGGAGAGGACAGCAAGAAAAGCAGCTAAAGACTAAAGGCCTCTTGTTCTTCCCCACGGACCAGATTTATCTTTTTTTTCCCTCCCTGCCCCCCATGCTTCTAGCATTAAGTAGCTATTAGATACCAAGTCACCACAAATTACTCAAAGTTGCGAGTTACACCCATTTTCTGAACAGCTAACAGAATCTTGCATCACTGGTGAAACCCACCCAGAAGCTATTGCAGGTGTGGCAACCATGAATAACTGAAATTAAGCCACAGATAAATACATACACTTTAGACTCACTTTTGTTGGCAGCGGACATTCATCAAGTAGTAGCGTTATAACAGCTGGTCCCAGGGGATCTTCTAATGGAATAACTCTAATTAAAGACTGGACAACTTCCAACCAGCCTTCATCTGTCAACCACAAAACAGAAGTAATGCTCAGAATTTACACTGCAATTCTGAAGTGTTCAAAATATATCCATAAATGTAAACTGAAAAATCCTCAAAATTACCCAGTGCGTTTACAGACACTAAGAAAAAAAAAAGTAACTTTTTACATTAATGTCAGTTTGCAGCAGTTTAGAGCTTTAAGTTCAAGGAGAAAAAAAAGCTTACAGCAGCTTGGGTAATAGTGAACACCTCTATTGTTTGGAGAACAGTCTTGCCCAGGCCAGAGCATCCTTTAGTTCCCACTAGTACTAGGAAGGAATACTCCTGACTGGCATGGGCAAGCACTTTGTTCCAGCATGACAGTCAAGAGTTCAGCGTCCAATGTCAACTCTTAAGTGTTAAATGCTGCATCAATGATGACATTGAAGAAATACTTCTAGCCAGAATCAGAACACTCTCCTTGAGTTCCTTCAAGTAACAGGGGTCTCAGAGGAACTGCATTACCTTGTCCCATGCCTGGTGGTCTAAAGAAAATTTGCTGTCATAAGAAACAGCTCTCACTGTTTAATGAGAAGACAAGTACTTGCTTCTACTTGCAAGTAAATAACAATCCACATATAAGATGTTAAACTACTAAAGCAAACAGATTTGGATTTACAAGAAAGTAGTTTCCTTAGAAGTGAAATTACAGAGTCTGTATCTGCACACAAGCGAGGTTGAAGAGACATAGCACTTCTTTCAACAATGACAAGTAAATGTAAGTAACACATTGAGGTTTGAGTTTCCTTAGTATATTCCCCTGAAAAACATTTTACTGAATTGCTATAAAATCTAATCAGGTTGATCGATTTTTTTTTTGATATAGAAATACATTTCCTAAGACCAGTACCAACTCTGAGAGAGAGAGATTCACCTAAACCAGGAGTTTGGCGGAGGTCTTTGGCTGGGAGAATTTCTCCTACTGTAACAAAGACAAAACAGCCCTTGCACAAACACAGCTCATCTTGCAGGAGTACTTAGGGACAGGATTAGAACAACTACATCAATAAAGCAGAGGGCTAAGGACAGCAAAACCGCAAACAAAAAGTACGTACTATTTGCCAACACTGGAGCATGTGGCTTTAAACCATCTCTATGTACATATACAGGTTGTTCCTGCCTTATTGCAAACAGACATTCTTTGGGGCTTACAGTTTAATACCATTACAATGTGCTTGTGGCCATCCCTTGGCTGCTTCTGGAGAGTTCACACGGGAAGTTTATTTAACAGAGTTCAAAAACTCAGGCAAATGCAATGAGCTCAGTGAAACTTCTGAAGGTCAGAACTGTGTTTTGGATCCCACATCCCTAGAGCTACAGCAAGTCATAACACATACTGCTAGCATGTATTTTAATTCGCAAAGAAAAGAGGTTTGGGGTTTTTTGGTGGTTGGGTATTTTTTTTGTTTGTTTGTTTTGCTTTGTAGTCACAACTGAAATGCCCAACCCAATGCCTTGATACCTGTTTCTGCCATTTCATGCAACGTGATCATTGAATAAGGAGGCTCCTGGTCACTGAAAGAGATATTACACACATCAAATTTATGCACAATCATCAACATAATACAATGAATAAAATTACAACAAGCAAACAGAAAATTAATCCAGTAAGTATTTAACAAAAGGAAGTTACATATGCTGCAGACTGCTAATGCCATTTTCAGAGCTGAAACACAGATGGGCTCTGAACCTTTCTCTGGCTCAAAGTCAACATCTGCATATCTACAATAGCTGATAAATGAAATGGTGATCCATATCTGCATGTCTAAAAGCTGAACATAATGCTTAGGCTTAGTGCTATTCATTAGCAGGGTTCCTCAGAGCACTATGTCAGAGGTCACGAAGTGAACCAAGAGCAGTGCACAAGGAACATAGCTTAAATACAATTTTTTTCCCCAAAAGTTCTCTGCTAAATATATAAATATAAAAAAACCCCAACCATCCACAAAACTGAAAGGCAAGCCACCTAACAGCATCACAGACTTCAAACTCATTAACACGAGCTGTAAGAGAGAGTTAAGGCAGTTTAACAGAAGATATTTAACCCAAGCCCCTTTCCAACATGAAAAATGTAAAAAGTTCAATTAGATCAGTTCTTCAGTCTGGTTTGCTGGAGCAAGGACAAGCAGCTATGGCCAGGTCTGTTCATCTGAGCAGGCACTGCCGTTCAAAGTACCTAAAACAAGATCTCAAAACGCTATTCAGTAAGCACCTCCAGGTCCAGAAAAAGCTCATGCAGCAGCAGGTCCTAAATGCTTTATTCAGTGCTGCTTAGGCACTGCAAACTAACCCCAGGCTCATCATTCTGTGTTCCACATTCAATTTCTATCACACAGCTCTGAAGTGAAACTGGAAATGTGAAATACAGATGAATTTTAGAAAAATATCAACACAGATTAATCGTGCAGATAATTAATCGCTCCAAAGCAGATAGTCAAAACTGAGATTTTTTTTTCTCTTCTTTTATAATAAAACTAAAAATGATGTAAATACATGCTTTTCTTACAAAAAAAATAACACATTCTTAAATATTTCCACAAGAAAATGCTAAAGTGAAGTTTAACCCATTTTTATATCGCCATAATATTTCAAACAAATAGCAGCATTATTTATTTACTTTTTTTCCCTCCAAGCATCTCTGCCTTTCTTCTGGAAACTAATCTCCCCAGCAGGAAAAAGCAGTGCGATACTGCAAGCAGGATTACCTCAAGAGAAAGGATGTAAAGACTCAAAGAAAGAAGAAAAAAACCCACACAAACCATAAGTACAAGAAAAGGATGAAATTTTTATCAGCGTGACTTCAGATTCTGTCATGGGTAGCAGGTGTTAGCAGTACTGGGACTGAGCAAAGGACAGTCCTGTCCCACTGATTTACCATTTTAAGCACTTAATTTCCAAACATCCCCTCCAGCACACACCTTCCTCATTTGGAAACAAAACAGTCATTTTGCTAATTTCTTAATTTGCAAAGCAGCACTTCACATAAGCTCCAAAAATTAGTACTTATCCTTCTGAGGCTAGGAAATGAAACTTAACTCCTTTCCTTCTAAAAAGGAGATCTCTCTAGATATGAGAGGAAAAAAGCAGTTGTCAGATGTGTTTGAGGTGAACTTTGAGATTTGATAAAACAAAACAGAAACACAGCAAGCAAACCCAAACAAACTGCAAACAGAGGAAGCAACTGTTCATTGCAGATCACAGTATAACAACTTCATTTACAATTCATCTCAGAGTGTTCCCATGTATTAACTTTCAGTATAGAGTTTGGAAAAAAATTGTCAGAAAAAGGGGTTTGCCTTGCATTCTTTAAACTGCTATCTTTCACTCTCTAAGGCTGTACTATCACACTGAAGCCCATATTTCCAACCTGCTGTTACTTACACACTTTCATTTTAGTTTGACTTTATACTTGCACATTTTTTGACACAAAGAGATTTGTCAGCTTCCCTACCACTTCCTTCAGTGGTGGTGTTTTCAAAACTGAAAAATCAGCTCTAGGAGGAACAGGTGATAATGGAACATACTTATTCCTACAGTCTCTCACTTACACTGAAACCCAAGATTTCCAGACATGATGTTTTCTTTTTCTTCCAAGTGAGCATTCCTATTAATCTGAAAAGGGCTACCATTAGCTTCAAGTCTAGCAGAAAGGCCCCTTGAACTTTTTTCAGACACATTTAGACAGTTTGCCTTGTGAACAGACCCCTCCATTATTCATAGCCATAGGTCTTTATCTGCAAGAACTTGTACTATTTAGCTGTGTTTTAAAACTGGCTGTGTCTTACCAACTGCCTTAATAGGAAATAAGGGAAACCAGTACACCAGCACAGCTCTCTCCTGGGCTCCCCAGGACAAGACAGACGGGAACGTGTCTATAAGGGAAGGTGTCTAGCAGAGGGCTTCCAAGATGGTTGAGGGCTGGAGAACGTGACATACAAAGAGAAGCTAAGACAAATAGGTTTGTTCATCCTTAAGCGGCAGGGGGAGGGGGGAAGGCAGGGGTAGTGGAAAGGAGGAAAAACCATATTGCTATCTGCAACTACGTAATGGGAAAGAGCAGAGAGGACAGAGTCAGGCTCTTCTCAGGGGGGCACAGCAACAGGATGAGAGGCAAGAGGAGCATGCTGGAACATGGGAAATTCCAACTTTTAAAAATATTTACTTATTTAAACCATGGAGGTGGTCAAACACTGGCACAGGGACCCAAAGAGGTGGAGAATCTCTATATTCTGAAGATGTTCAACACTTGACTGGATAAAACCCTGAGCCACCTGCTCCTGCTAGACCTGGGTTTTAAGCAGGACGCTGGAGTAGATGAACTTCAAGACATTCCTTCCAACCTATGCGATTATGTGACTCAAAGCATTTCACTGGAGTCTGTATTAAAAATAACCAAACCAATCAGCAGCTTCAGGAATTTGTCAGAAACAGGACTCCAGCATCAGTGAAATAACTATGCTTTTGTCCCTCAGTAGCATAGGAAAGCACTTACAGGATTACAAAACCGACTCCAAGACCCACAGGAACAGAACCAACTGCTGAACTTAAGGGAAAGGAGAAGGCATGCAGATTAGGGAGAGACTTTCAAAAAAGTCTGCCATGATTTTAACTTAACAATTTGAAGACAGTCCACAAAATAGAACCTGTTAAAAAAACCCAAACCCCTTAGATTTAAATGTTCAGGGGAAAAAAAAAGTTCTAGTATTTCCATTTAAAGTATTTTACAGCAGGAGGGCAAACTCCTCCTCTGCAGGCACATGCCACAGTAACAATGCAGGTATACGCATCAATGCGCACTTGTCCTGAGCCTCATCCACCTCAAACTCCAGCTGTAAAGCTAGAATAGCGTTTTTCCCTCTGTTCTGGCCCTTCCGATTCCTAGCCTGCACCTAACCCAAAAGGTGATGAGCTAACGTCACCCATCATTTTTAAGGTCCTTTTAAAGCTTTCTACAAAGCAACACAAAACCAAAAAAATAAGGATGAATACATAAATAGCCCCCACACCCTTAATGGATGCTTTGAGCATGCAAGGAATGCAATACTGGGATCGTGAGTTGAACAGTCACAATATGCGGTCTTTAAAAAGTAGTCAGACTTATAACTGGAAAGAAAACTTCAGTCTGTTTACAGAAGTTAACAAAGATCAAAGCTCTCAGTTTTGCTTAACCATTTCTAGAGAAGTAAATGCAGCCTGAAAACAGAAAACTTACACAATGACCAATTTTTAGGACAGAGGTTCCCAAACTCTAGAGTGTTCATTGCTTCCTAAACTGTGTATCTATGCCAGGTAAGAAATACAGAGTGCACTCCTTGTCCCACCTGGGTGTAGGCCCATACAGGAACTGTGAGAAAGCTCCTCAGCTCGTGGAAGAGTCTGTACCTGGGCACTCAGGAGCTACTTCTATTACCTAGGAAAGGTGCTCCTCTCCTAAGCTTCCAGGTGGAAACACGCAGCTGCTTCAGGGAGGGTCAGGTGTAGATCGGTGAGAGGATGGAGCCACAGTTTGAGAGAAGACAAGAACATTTTCACTCATGTGGAATTATTCCTTGAGGAGGTACTTACTTATCTACTAACGTCCGAATTACAGCCAGCGTGTCAAGTACTAGCCCATCCACATTCTGTTTTTTCCTTCTTGGTTCATGAGGCCCTCGACCCCTCCTGGGTGGACGGACAGGGTCCCTTGAGTGGCTTCTTGCTTCAGGTACGTGTACTCTACTGTTGTCTGTCTGCCGACTCCGAGACTCCACATTGTCTTCTGCTCCACTGTCATCGCGGCAAACGCATGAGTTTCCCATATTGCTAGCCCGCAAGGCTCCCAGTAAATGGGGAATGTGGTGCTCTAGAGTCAACAGTAAACCTTGAAAAAGGCTTCTGCTAGCATAGAATGCAACCAAAGCAACTACAATCATCTAGAAAGTTTTAAGAGTAATGTTTGTGTGATCCTGAATTGTGATTTTTTTGCATTATAAGCGTTGCTACCAGCTGGAATGAATGGGAAGTTGGAGACTTAGTTTCCGATATAATTGGTTAAAATACACATTGGTCATCCAGAAGGAGGTCTGAAAAAGCAAACCCAAAACAAGAGTCAGTGTTACTACTTCTAATGAATAACAGAAGAATTCCTATTTTAGTAAACAGAATCAGTCTTGGCAGACAAAGCACCTAGGAAACATAAGATTTGTACCTGAAGTCTATTGCTGGGAGGGGAAAAGGAAGGAAGAGGAGGAGGAGGAAGTTCACCGAGTAAGTAGCTCTTGTCCACACACCATTCTTTTCTATACTACCTATTATTTCCCATTTCTTCCATGGTTTCTGGATGCAGAGGAACAATTTTTTCCTTAAATCTAGCACACTGCTACCCTTTAAACACTAACAGTTTCATTTATTCTTTACCCTTTATAGAGACATACTGCTTAGGCCACCCAGATAAAGGCTGTACATTTAAGATTCTCATTCCCCATCAGGAATATTCAGTATAATTTCCAGACAGAGTCTAGAAAATAGCCAACATTGTAAAGAATAATCTTACAGTTATGGCCTATCTCAACAAACAATAGATATAACACTGAACTCTTTAGTCCATCTGCATGTTTTTTGGAACATGCCTACATCAATTGAATTCTCACCCAAAAAGCACCAAGTATGGACCTTGAAATAAACAGGAATTACAAACATCATTTTAATGCCTACAAATCTACGCAGGATTTTGAAAGAAGTGTTTTCTGTGCAGGTTGTACGCTCGTTCAGAGCTACCAAACCAACCAATTTTTGCGAACGAAGACTAATTCAATAATTCTTTTGTTCTTGATTCAAATGGTTTGGATCAAATACAGGTCCACTAGCAACTGAGATTGTAGGGCAGTCCCTCCAAATCATTAAATTGAGAAGGCTAGCAAGAGCAAAAGGATTCAAGACCCCACTACAAGTTATTTTTCAAGCCATAGGGTATATTTCTACAGAACATTACATAAAGGCTCAGCTAAAATAAAGCCCTAGAAAAGACACCATGTCACTACTTATGTACTTCAAGCATGCCAGAATAAATAACTATTAAGACTAAATGCATGTTATTCTTAAAAGAATCAAGTTCAACATTTAAGCTAGAAGTTATGGCAAATATCCTGTAGAATAGTAATAACCTGTTACAAGTATTAAATAATCTATTTAACAGCAGACATGTAGCACCATAAAATTAAAAGAAAGCCAAGGACCGTTTCCACCTTTCAAATATGAAAGGCCCCTTACCATCGGAGCCAACTGACAACCATGCAATTGCTGGCTGCCATTTGGGACAAGATCATGACAAAATTATTTGGGAAGCCAGACACTGGTCATATGAGCAAGTGTCTGGACGTACAGCTGTCACTGCAAAAGCACTACAAACAAGCTCTCAGACTCTTCTGTAGTTTGAAGTACGTTATCTTCTTTTAGCCTAATGAAAAGTTCAGTATTAAGAAATTAACTGAAGGCTAACTAGGGAAAAAGAAAATCCCTCAAGTGATACTAATTGCAAAAAAAAAAAATTTACAAGATTTTGACTTCTTGTTCAAGAAATTCTTAAACCACAGATCATTAAAAAGGCTTTCAGCGTCACAACGTGCTTGCCTTACTCTCTAAGCAGTTTGACCTAACAAGGCGGGACACCAAGCTCAGGAGTCCTTCCACCTGAGCCAATACAACTGTTACCTTCTCAGTCAGCAAGTAAAAAGCAGATACAAGGGTGCCAATACAGATTGCATAAATCTTAAACAGAATTGTGTAGTATCTCAACTGGTTCAAATGACTTTAAGAAGTTGCAGGGGAGTGTGGTGTGTTTCTTTTTTATCTTTAAAGAGCTAGTAATGTTAAATGCAAAATATGTCTTCCTAAGGAAAAAATATCCATGTCTTCATGAATCTAGATCATTTAAGGGTATTTTAGTAACATAATACTAAAATGTAAAACTGTTACAGATCTAGAATCTGAATTAAGCTGCTCTGTAACTTAGGAAAACGTTAACAGAATCTACCTTGTCATCAAAACAAATATGGAAAAGCCGTATTTTAGGGATTAGCAATGAGTAAGAACCTACCTAAGGAAACAAAAATAAACATAAGTCAAGATTATTGAAACCTAGGTTTTTCTGGTTGACAACTTAAAGCATGATTAAAAACAAGTGATTATGATCAACTCACCTTTAAGTGTGTTTGGCTCAGGAACAGTTGGGCTTGCTCACAAAGCGCTGTGACAGAAGCGGACTGTACTTCAGGGCACAGAGGCAGCCGTATCTGGAAAAGCAGCACTCTCTAAGCCTTTATTGTAGGCAGCGAGTCATTATGGCTGACTCTGCTTTCAACTTTTAGGAACTACGCTGAACAGTCCCTGAAGACAGATGGAAAAGAAAGAACAATTCATTTGGAAACTGCCTCTGAGGTAGATGTATTCCACCTCCTTCCTACACCCGCCATGACATCAAGCCATGCTGTTGTTTTCAGCTACACTGAAGCCTTTACAGGGGAAATTCTCTCAAGGCTTCAAAAATGAGTTTGCCACCTACTAGCTTTAGGACTAGACCCAGCTACAGAAAACCCAATCTGCTTTTACAGCTTTGGTCTTCCAGACACCATAGCATCAAGTGCAGAGCAGTGACCAACTCCCCCCCCTCAAATTACTGCCTACAGGAGGAAGAAGGGAAGCAATTAATACCTGGTCCACATCACCCTCGAGAAGGGACAGCAGAAAATAAAAGCAAGTACACTATAAAGTTGATTAGATAAAGGGAAGAGAGAAATGACAGAATAAACTCCCCTTATTTAGTAGAGAGCTGAGTTTGACAGCATTCACTTGGTTGTTGTTACCACCATGTACAAGGAGTTCATTGTCAAGCCTTAAACAAACTGAAAGGCTAAATAATTAGGAACATAAGGGAGAAGAAGAAGAGATGGCTACAGATCCACCTCGCAAACCAGTTTGTCTGGACAGAGCATGAATGCATGAAGAGAGGTTCTGAAGTGCAAAGGAAAAGCTTTTTAAGAAAAGTCTTTTAAAACAGTGATGTACCAGATTGAACTTGAGCTGATATATTTTTCAAGGACAGCTTTACAACATTATAATCAAGTGCGATTTTAGCAGTAGGCTGTCGGCGGCCATCCCAACTCTCTCGCTCACTGCTGAAGTAAAGAGGACAGAGACATCAAACTTCAGGTCAGGTCAGCTGCAGGATAGAACAGGGAAATACAGTCAAGAAGGGAGATGCAAGTGATCAGAGCGATCAGTTCTGCTCCTGTCCAAACTCAGAGACAAAACCAACACACAAAACGAAAAGCATTTTGCACATCATGAAAGATGAAATATATTGTTGTTTCAGTAAGAGGTAACAATCTCTGCATACAGAGATGGAAAGAAATTTTAAAATTTAAAGCTCAAGCCTAATTTTCACAAATCCCTGCTCTCAAAAAAACCTGGACAAAAATATTTTTTAATTCCACAAACACATAACAGTCTACTGGCAAATATTGTGGGAATAAAACAGAATGGGTTTTTTTAAAGACTTTGTCTAAAAGGAGAAAAAAAAAAAAACAAAATCAAGGAGCAAAACAAGAGTATCACAACAGCAGTATCAAAATAGGCCAAGATAAGCATCCTCTCCTACGTGGCAGCAGATACATGAAGCTGGTATAACAGCCAGCATACAGTAACAGACAAAGAGGCTCTTTCCTAGTGCCCTGAGAGTCAATAGCTCAGTCTCCCAAGACAAAGGCCACGTGTTTGTTTTGCTGTTAAAACACAGCTAAGGAAAAGAACTAATCTTTCATAATCTATTTAAATTCTTTTTCAGCAGTTACACAGTTAAGAGTCTCTGCAACTGCTTTTAAAATTTAGCAGTCTGCTATTATAAGGGTATGACCAACTGTTAACCAAAGCCTAATAGTTTTCTTAAAAATTATGCTATTGGGGAATTTAGCGTCGTTTGTGACTTTTACCTTTTGTGTTTCAATATCACATCAAAACACTCTTTAACCCAAGTTATGTTCTGAGCTAATGGCTAAGAGTCATCTAAGCAACAGCACAAGAATAAAGAAAGGTTTCCCTGGAAGGCTGCTGGAACAGAAACCTAGTGCCTCCTGTCAGGGCTACGATGACATCGTGCAAACACCATTTTCTTAAACAATTGGTGCAAGTCAAAGTAGAACTGAAAATCTTCAGATGAAGCAACTGTGCATGAAAATACCAGCAATAGCTAAACTACAGGAGAGAAAGAAAACAGCTTCTCCATGTTAAAAGCTGTGACCCCTCTCCTCACAATTAGATTTCGGTGTCATTCAGATATACCGCAATGCTAGAAAGCCCCATCTCATCAGTTCTGTACTCGCCCAAGGAATATTCTTTGGCAAATTTAGAAACTATTAACAAGACTATGAAAGCTGTTCACAACAGCAGCCAGATTTATAGAAGTGGTAACACTTTTATTTTACTTTGAAACAGTGTTTTAACAAAAGCTTGGCCCCACGTTTTTCAGTGCAAGAAATGGTGAAGGCAGCAGCCTTTTCAACAGGCAAGGTCATCCATTCACTGTGAATTCTGATCATCAGATGTTACTTTAGGATGCAGCATTACAGAGTTGCCAAACATATAGAATAAAAATTTACATTTTGATCGTAAGAAGTACCTGGTATCGATACCTCTCATGCTGAACAGACACTGTGGGAACAGCAGAGAACGCCAGTGCCCCACACCACCCCCTTAACACCAGAGAGCACCTGCAGGACACCTACCAAATGGCTACCCCGGCATGTTTTCCCCTAAAAGCACCAGGCTCAGATAGTGTTTGAGCCAGACACCTTCCCTGCACCAGAGAAAAGCAGCAGCTGTGGCACTGCCGGAGCCCTGCCCGAGCAACCTCCCGTGCCCCCACACACCTCCACTGGCC